CCAAGCCCCTGTGATCCGCCAAGCCCCTGTGATCCAAGCCCCTGTGATCCGCCAAGCCCCTGTGATCCGACTCTTCTATTCTGATTAAGACTTACTTATTTTATGTGCCTATGTGCTGTACCTGCATGCATTTATGTACACCATCTATGTGCAGTGCCCACAGAGGCCACAAGTGGGATCCCAGGGAGCTGCAGTCACAGGTGGTTGTGAGCCACCATGTGGGAGCTGGGGACTGAGCTTTGATCTTCTGCAAAGTCAGCCAGGCAGCAAAGTCAGCCCCTTTGACTCAGTTCTTAATGCCAAGGGTCAGCTTAGAGAGAAAAGCTTAGCTCAGCCCTAAGAGATAAACACACAGACCCTCACCAAGTTCTAAGGAATTCTGGGTTCTGTCATTAAGAGAACTTTTCAAATTATCCTCATCACAACACCGTCCCCCTAATTTATGCAGGTCCCAGGTTTGCATCTAAATTTAAATAATTGATGCCCTTCTTGTTCCTGCCAGAGGGGCTTAAATATTCAAAGGCAGAGCTAGTTAAACCCTGTGTAGCAAACACAAGGAAGAGTCACAGTAAGTAAAGCCCACAGAGTCCCTGAAAAACAAACCACAAGTGTTTGGGAAGAGGCCACAGTCAATTTTGATCTGGAGCATAGTTTGAGTCAAAGCCTACAGCTATAATAGTGTGTCATTTGTTCACATGTCTTTTTTTTTTTTAAGTCACACTATACAGGGAATGAAGGAGGGAAGTCAATCACTATCCTGAACATCTGGTTCCTCTGCAGCTGAACTGATGAGTCAGTGTGGCGTTTCCATGGGTTTATACTCCTAGCTGCAGTTGCTGGAGTCGACAGGGCTCTGGAAGTGAAGTGTGCACTTAGCGTTGGCAAGAATGGAAATAGCCGAGTTCTAGATATCTTCAGAGGCAACCTGTCAGCTGGTACTTGGTGTGCCAAGAAGAGTCAGCAGCATGACTTCACGTCAGTGGCTTGAGAATAGAGGCCTGGAAATGGCTGTGTGTGAGCAGGACCCTTAGAGCCTTTCATGCATGCCGTGTGAGGGGTGGGATGAGTGAGAGGCGGGGCGGATGGGCAGAAGGGAATGCCGGGAAGTGAATACCAGCAAGTCCA